TTTATAAAAATAGGTAGTTACACTCTTAAATGAAAATGAATCTAGAAAAGAAATTTCAATGCAAAAAGGCTATGTTTAAATATATAATTTTAAATATGATTTAAATAATTTTTCATTTTTTATCATTTTTCACAAGCCACTAAAAATGTTAAAGTGAAAACAAGATAAAATCTGTGCAAAACTGTTCTTTACTGTTCGAAAGGTGGAGTTTTCGAGACGTCATGAAATTCGCACAAAGATAGAAAAATTTTTATTGTTTAAAATTCGATACTCCACTGAAAAAAATTTGTTAAATTTTAATACATTTTAATATTTTTTTGAATAGTAAACACTTATAGTAAATAAATAATTACTCAATAAAAAAAATAATTACTCAATAAAAAAATGATATAGTTAAATAAAATTAATGGTTTTTGTATCAAATAAATATATGTTTACGTTTAGTAAATATTTATTATAATTATTCAAATAAATATTTATTAATATAGATTTTTTCAGTGCACACACAGAGAGAAAAAATTTGCTATAAACGCTAATCGTATGCCGTAACGGCAAATTTATTTGCACATATAGGGATCGCAAATTATTTGCAGGTGTAACAAATATTTATCCTTTTTTGTACTCGCTATAAAAATTATTTGTAACAAATTCAAAATATTTGTCAAATATACAAATTTGTTTGCTACAAGCAGTAAAAATTTGACGATTAAATTTTGTAACCCCTTTTAAGTTTATAACAAATTTTTTCTTTCTGTGCATGAACAGAAAGGTTAAGATAATAAAAATAATTTCTCTCAGGAAATATAGCAGGAATTTTACATATTTGTAGACGGAAGAACAGATTTCTCTGAAAATCTTCAATTGAGGCGGCGACGTCTTTGTCACTTACGGCTAAAAAGAAACGTTACACATACACGCATTCGTGCGTGAGAGTGGATTAAAGGAAAGGCGGTATCTCATGAGGTCGAAGAGCCGCGACACTTTAAAGAGATTCTCCTTTTACCCACGGTGCGATTTCAGTGAGAAAATATTGCCTATAGACGACGACGACATTGACGGCACCGAGTGTATATACGACGTAAGTCACTTTCTTTGGCGGTCGGGCGCGTTTGCGGCAAACAAGAAACGGACTTCAGAAAAGTGGAGAGAAAGAGCGTGGGCGACATCGCGGGCAAAGAGAAAGGTTAAGAGGGGTAGGAGGGATACCGAAAGCTTTGTAATGTCAAAGAGCATCGTTTTAGCGGTTCTCGCTGGAGTCTTTGATATCGAAATGGGGAGGAATTCTCTTCCTCCCCCTCCCTGCTTTGTCGATGTCGGTCGCTTTTTATTTCGACGAGCGGAGCACGTGGTATCAAACAGCACGACCGGTGGAGGAGGATGAGGAGGAGGATGAGAGACCCTAGCAGCTACTTTGACGACGCTTCAGCGGTGTTGTGCTCCGGGGGATTCCCAAACCGTGCACCGTCGTGCGTGCTGTTCCTCTCCCTTCTCCCTGCCCACCCCGGCGCCTTCACAGAGGGTGGCCACGTGTCTCTTCCGGTCGCGTGATCCACCACGGCAGATTTCCCCGTGTTATCTATTACCAGCCGGCTATTCCACCGCGAGAGTAAATAAAAGGATAGGAAGAGAACGGGTCGGCTAAATAGTAATCGTCGCGGCGTTTCACAAAGCCGAATACCTCGCGCGCCAAGAATTCTCCGAGGTCTTCGATTTTGAACTCTGATCCTTGCGTTGTTTCTCACAAATTCCGTTGATTGATTTTAAATTATTTTAACGTCTAGCAGTAATTCTGACAGGCAAATTTATTAAGTAATTCTTGCATTTCTGCAAAACATTAGATCTGTTCGCGTTGCTTGCACTTTTTGCACTCGGCATTTTCACTTTCCCTCTTTTCAGCGCCCAAATATACGGACTGTCCCCGTATAAGTGACCAACCCTTTTCAGCCTCGTAAATTAACAGAGATTGTCCTAATAAATATAATATCAAATTAAATGATTCTAATTAAACTCTATTTTAAGCACAGTGATCAGTTTATCGACGTCGTCAGAATTCAGTCTTTACTTTAAGATCCTCTTAAGTGTAAACTTAAATTCGTAAATTATATTGCAAACATTTTCGCTCGAATTCATTTGAAAATCCGATGATCTTTTGACAAATGACTGTGTCATCGCGAAAATCGCGTTGTCGTCATCGTAGTCGTCGCGAGATGCGCATCTCGCTGGACCGATGGCTGCGCCAGTTGCGTGTCCCGTTTCAGATGTTAATAGGTGTTAATAGATAGACACAGCTACACGGGCAGCGTGCTTCGTCGAGGGTGCCGCTTGCATACCGTGGTTTGGTGAAGCGGAGTGAGAAGCTTCAGTGGTGGTAGTGATGGCCGGAGGAGACGACGACGATGACGACGATGACGGCGACGACGGCAGCGGCGGCGGTGACGACGACGACGAGTGGGGGCAGGGCAAAGTGGAGCTCAGAAGCGGCCGCTTTGATGTAGACACGCTCCGCGACTCCTTCACGCCAATAAACTAACGGTTAGGTTAAGCCGTCTCTTTAAGCCGTAATATCATTATCCTTGCCTTGTGCCCTCGGCGCAGCACGACGTCGACGTCAACGTCAACGTCGCTTTTGTCGCGTAGCCGCGCCGCGCTTTCTTCGCGTAAATGTCAACGCGTGTTTCTTGCATGCTTCCGGAAATACGAGTGCACTGTCCGTTAGAGGACAACGATATGGAGTATACGCTTTAAAGATTTGTAAGGTAAGAAGCGTAGGGGTGAGAGTCCGATAGAGTCGGCATAGATCAAAGCCTCAAACGGTCGGATCTCAAAATGTCAATGGCACGTTAAATATCCGACTCTTCGTTACGCTGCTCTTTAAGTTACGCCAACACAGCCCGGTCGGATACACACACACACACACACAGTTCTGTTCCGAGCCGAAAAGTTCTCTTTCAACTTCGGCGATCGTGACTAAAGGTACACCCGGTATACGAGGTACGAGTAGGAGGCCATTGACAGACCGACAGTGTCGGCACGAGCAAGGACCGGGCCGAAGAAAAAGCACCGCGACCAGTCGAAACGAAAGCACCGACCGCAGAAAACGCACGGTTGCATCCGCATCGCCGATACGCGTTCACTCGGCTCGTATGCGTTTGCGAACTTGGTAGCCCACTTTTAATGCACTAAGTTTTCAAGGACAACATCAACATTCCGTTCGAGATGATAATACATTTAATTTTTGAGCTCGAGACAAAAATCACGTTTCAGAATTCAGTTCAATCGTAACGATGCGCCTGTTATTTTTAAACGATACGGCTGTGATTCCGACAGCTACTTTTTTTTCAAAACGTACAGAAAAGTACATACTGTACGCAAGTAATAGTTTTCTAGTATTCCAAAAGTTCCCGTAATCATAAGTTTATCAAAGGCATCGAATTTATTCAAAATATATTCTAACTCTTAGAAGTTTAATATTTCAATCAAGATTATTACGTTAAAATAAACTTGCTTATTATATAAAGTCTTCTTCGATCGATTTTATAATATTCTTAAAAAGAAAATAAATTCTTGTTTGGAATACATAATGAGTTTTTCTAAAACGTGTAATAAGTATATTTCAAGATTATTATCAAGAAATTATTCTTCGTTAAAGATAGTCGTTACTTATGTTAGAAAAAAGTAAATTAAGTTATCAGTTTTCTTAGCAATAAAATGATATTTATCTGTATTCTTTTACGATTTCTAAACTATAAATAACAAAACAAAGATTACAACAAAAAAAAACAGCTTTATAACTATTGTAAGATACTTTAATATGATTGAAATTGAATTTCATAACAGTTGCAAAATTGCTTTTTCCGCTGCTAAATGCAGTCGATGTTTTCTTGATTGATAATTTAATTTATCGAAAGTAGAATATGCACTTTAAGAAACATGGCGAAGAGCGATAAAATAATGATATTTTCAACGCGAGTTATTTTAATGGATTTATGAGAAAGTCAACAAAAAGATTCCCAAAATATTTTTGTATTCCTACTAAAAATAAAAGATATATTAATCGACAGCAGATTAATTAAAAATAATCTTGTTAATTTTTAATGATAGTATTAATAAAACAAATACATCTTCGTGTTTTAATAAAATGTTATATATTTATTTCATTAAATTAAAATATCACTGAACTAACATCATGATTATTTTTAATTAAATTGCTGTTAGTTAATACTGCAACATCATTTTTTTTCCATGTAACATGCTCATTCTTCATGTATTTTAATTATCGTATCACGTTTTAAAACATTTTCAATATTGCCGGATATTCTCCATGAACCTTTTAAACATCTGACAGTTCTAACTAAAGCTTTTCACACGAAGAAAATGTCGCTGTATGAAATCGCGCATAAGCGAGAAAGCAAGAAGACGACGTTAAGGGAAGGATGACAGAAAGAGGGAAAGACGATAAGAGAAGAGAGCCAACACGGTTTCCAGATGCGAGAACGTCTGCTAGAAATTTGCACCACAATAAACCTCGGGGTTAAAAAAAATTCAGGTAACACCCTTTGGAATCTCAAAGAAACGTAAACAAAGTTCAAACGCCAAAATTCAAAGTGCAAATCTCCCTCTCGTTCACTCTCCCCCCCCCCTTCCAGGAACTAAAATTCGTCGGAACTACACCGGACAAAACGTCAAAGTAAGAATGATTCCGACACGCAAAACGTGCGGGTCCTTTTTCGGAAGGAACGAAAATGTGCCTCGAATGCTTTCTCGGTTGTTACGCGGAGGTCAGGGTCAGGTATCGCACCGAGAGAAATTGCGAGCGGCAAGTCACACACAAATCGAGAAGCGGCAAACGGGCACGAGAGAGAGAGAGAGAGAGAGAGAAGGGAGGGAGGAGGGAACGAAAGAGGAGAGCGAAAGAGAAACGGAGAGGACGGAAGCAGCGAAGAAGGGAAGAAAGCAACAGCGAAGAGCGAACAGACGAAAGCAAAAGAGCAATGACTCACTCTGTATATCCGTCGGTGTTTACTGACGACGCCGGGACGACAACGCGGCTTCTAGGCGACTCGGAGACGACTGGCGGTGCAGCCGCGGATCCATGCTCTCGCGGAGGTGTCAACTCGCCCGTGTTCGCGGCGATTCGCCGTGAGCTGCAACGCGGACACACGTCTTGTTTCTTTTCCATCCTTTCTCTCCGTCCCACCCTCTCTTTCGTGCACATGCACTCTCTCTTTCTCTCTCTCTCTCTTTCACTCTCTTGCACGCATTCTGATATATTTACCTATATACGCATATCCCTCTCCCCCTCGCTCGGTACAGACGGATGATCCACCGTGATCTGGCTTGGCACTTCTTCGACACGGCGCACACCACACCGATAAGCACACCAACGAACACACGCATTCACGCGCGATGATTCGCGGCACGCACTCGACGACGGGGTACGACGACGGCAGGACGTGTCGTCGTCAGGCGTCTCGCGGGGACGGAAAACACACGGGATAGTGGCAAGGGACCGCGCGCGAGGGGCACACAAGACGCGGAATCTAAGGACGGCACGGCGACATCGCGTTACTTCGCAGGCACCTCTCGGCGGTCGTCGCCCTCGGTCGCTGGCTCCCGCACGAGTGCGTGTTAACGCACGCGAGCGCGCCCTCACGGTCCTCCGCCGAACCCGCTGGCTCGCTCGACCAATCAACACGACCCCCCTCGGTAATCACCCCCCTCCGCCCCTGCCGTCATTTCGCACCAACCGCGGTACTTCGTGTGTCCTGTGCAGCAATAATTAATATTAATTAATTAATAAAAAAAAAGTTGCATACTTCAAAATTACGTCTATACGTTTTCTACTGGTTGTTTACATAATGTTTACGAATTTTTTTTATGTGGACAAAAACATATAAATCATTGTAAATTGGATAATACAAAAAAATAAATAAATAAATTAGTTTTAAAATGTTAATAAATATTAATGCATGGCTTGTTTTTTTTTTAATTTTTGCTGAGTTTATCTTTTCTCTTCCTCTATATATATATATATATATATATATATCAGAGAGAAAAAGAAAATTTCCTCAATTTTTTAAAATAATCTTTTATTATTTAACAAATTGGTAAAATGCAGAATGCGTGCAAAAAGAATAATTTATAAGTATTATTTTTCTTGATTTTTTTTCTTGCCAAGATTTTTTTATGGGAATCAATTATGGGAGAAAGGAAAGTTGCTAGTTTATACTATAATTATTGTTTGTGCGATATAATGATTGCGTGTGGAAATTAAAAAATTATTTATCTTCAACATATTTGATTGTAGCTTGACAGCGTTGAGTGAAATCGATGCAACGAACTTTTAATTTTTAGTTAATTTTCAATATTTTAGCATGAGATAAGAATATATTTCTATTTCCCCCCCTCTTTGCCATTAAAAAAAATTAATATCTAAATAAGAAAATAAAATTTCCAATTTTAATTTAAATTTTATTTTCTTATTTAAATATTAATTTTTTTTTACACAGGAAATTATATTCTTCTAGAATCTCATACTAAAGTGTCGAATTCTAATTAAAAACTAAATTTGATTGGCAAATAAGTTCTATTTAACTGAAGTTAGGAAGTTCTAACTTGAATATTATTACTGTAAAAAATATTGTTGCTATAATGTACTGTAATATAATATTTAAGAATATATTATAATACATAATGTGTACGAACAAAGGGGATTATCAAGGCTGCACTATAAAAAATACTCAGAGTGGAGTACAACTAAATCTGAGGGTTGCGCGATTTGAGTTAAGTGAAGTATAATTAAGTCAAAAAGAATAAAGACCTAATTAGTTGAATAACTTCACTAATTAAACGAATAACTTTACGTAGTAAAATGTACTCAAAAATTTAGTCAAAGTATATGATTAACCGATCTGAAATATGGTTAAGTGTATTAATGTTAGATATTCATTCAGCTACTATAAGGGTGATTTAACTACGTAATAATAATAAATCTGCATCTACATGGAGATCAAATCAATCATAGAAAAAAATATATTGAACTAATTATTTACGTAATTCAATGATGAGGCGGTATTTACTGTCATAAACATATTTACAAAGTTGATCAAATCATTATTGGTGGTAAATGAACATGAATATATGTAAAAGTAACAGGACTTAAATGTAGTAGGAATAAATTATTGACGGTACTTCACTTTGATTTAGAGCGAGAGAGCGTTTTGTGGAGCTATCAATAGATGGCGTGTGTACTCGTAAGTGAGATTTGACATCACCTGTATAAAGCGAGGATGGTCAAATGGTCAAACCATTAACCATTTTCATGCACTTCTTGCCACATCGTGACGATAAACATTTTTTTCAGAGTGTGGAGTAGAAAGTTTTTTAATGATTAATTAAATTATTTTAACGGGATCAAATAAATTTAATGAATTGTCTTATTAAATAAATTATTAAATCTACTTCACTCGAAAACAAAGTAGAAATCACCTCAAAATTGTTACTATCAACAATTTATTGAGTTCTTGTTACTTTATAGAACGGTTTAGTCAAATATTAAAATCGGTCTGTTCTATTGCAGATTTATTTCATCGTGTTCATAAAGTATTTTTATTGACAATAGAAGAAGGTCACCGATACCGACATACCACTTTGTTTTTAGACAATATTTTTTAAAGAAAAGATAAAAATACAACTTCAAAAACATAAATACAAACTAAAAAGTGTCTTCTATCAGATAGTATAAGCAGTTTTTATAATACTGTTTGCAATTTTGCAATAATTAAGTTTTTCGTAAGTTATGCAAAAATGAGCGTCTGACAAAATGGGCTCCAAAACTGACACAGTAGGCAATAATGCCAACATTCTTATTCTATAAATAAAGATATATCCTATTCTGTAAAGAAAACTAATTTATGAAACTATAAACATTTAAAATGACATAATATTATCAATAATACAATCACTATTATTTTAATTACGCAATTTGCAAAAGAACACCGTAAGAATTTTCTTCTCGGATTCATAGAATTTGTTTTTAGCTGATTTGGTATAGAAATAAGCCACAAATATATGAATTATGAGTTTGTTAAACTTCTTTAATTAGCTAAATATATCACGTTTTTATTAGCATTAATAAGGTGCAAAGGTTAGTTTCTAAGAAATAAGGAAATGTCGCTTTAGAAGACCTATGTCAGTATCGGTGACCTTCCTCTACAATTATATTCGTTTACCGTCAATAATAGTTTAGTCAATTTTATAAATATTTTATAGAAATAAATTCAATGTTTATTTAATACACACACACAAGGAAGACATTAAAGAAAGTTAAAATTTTCCTTGACGCAATCTGACAATTAGTTCGCCATATTTAACTCTGAGATTGAGTTGGTTTACGTCAATTCGAGTTGAAAATTTCTTGATTTTTTTTATAATGTATAATAATTCAGTATATTTATGTTTTTATTAAAGATTTTTTATTAGGTAAAACTAACTTCTTGATTTGCGCACTGACAACCGCGCCGACTACTTATAGTCTTAATAATCATCTTTGTTTGAATTTTGAGGAGTCTGAACCTTTTGGTATTGTAATTTGTATAATGTGTATGATTAAGAGTAGCACAAACCAATTATATTACAAAAACTAATATATTTATAACAAATCGCTTTCTAAAAATCCAAATAAAATATATTTAATTACCCAAATATTAATCTAATATCCTCAACTGTCAATTAAATTCACAATCTAATATCCTAAACTATCAATTAAACCCTTTATCGAAGTAATAATCGACTATGAAATATCGGAGCCAACGTTTAGAAAATGTGATGATTGTACAACTATTGGAGAGCAATTGCTATAGTGTTTTCTGCAATTTCTTGCAATTCTAAATACATTTACCACGCAGATCTGTTTTTCTAACGATTGACTGTTTGTCCTCTACACGCAACTGTATTGAATTATACATCCAGTTCCCCAGAAGGCACCCTGGAGGTTCCTCGGACTCCCCCACCGACTTTTATTAAAATATCAAGTAGTGGGCATCGTTACATTCAGTCTGCTGTGCCGCGCGTCGATGGTACACGTTAAACGGAGTGCGATCGAAACTGGTTCAGCACATTGTTTAAATTATTTGACCGGAACGTTTTCGCGGATTCACAGGAGGGCGGTATTTTTCTTTTACGACGAGAGAGCGTCATGCTCAAATAAGAAAATCTCCTACAAAGTACTCGGCATTTTTCACTTCTGTGCGTCTTTCAGTGTTCTTTTTCAATTTGACTGAAAGCTAGAAAAAAAACAATTCATCAGAATTAACTTGAATTCGACATACACATTTGAATAGTTTGACGGTACGTGCAGTCAAACGATTTCTTATTACGATCTTTCAAGCTAAGGGATCGTTTTAGTACGGCAATACGCAGAGACAACTTGTCTAAAAAGAACGGTATGGAATTAGCTAAGTTATATGTAATTAAGCACGTAAAAAAATAAAATATATCTTTTTAATTTTTATATATAATTTTATCAAAAATTTATGAAACTACCGGGCAATTGACAGCTATTATATAGTTCTAGTAGTGTAAATTATTCAATAAATTATTTCTGCGATTTTTACATAAAAAATCAAGTAATTGTCTGGACAATTATTTATTATTATTTATAATATTATTTATTTGTTATTATTTATAATAATTATTTATTTATTATTATTTATAATAATTTACATTACTATAAGAACTATGTAATAGTTCTCAATTGCCCGATAGTTTCATATATATTTTTATTAAGATAGAGAGCTCAAATATAATTTAGTTTTTGTTTTCATTTTATTTCAAGATTTTACATTTTTTAAGATCACATTTTTGTTTTATCTAATCTACGTTATCACAGGCGTATGATAATGATAGATAAGCTAATAATATAAAAAAATGTTATTGATAGTGATACTGAAAGCATGAAAACATAATTAGCTCAATAATTTGATACATTTATTCCTTTCTTTTACTCATTATCAAACAAAGTTGCGTCCTTCTATTCATTCTCATGACATAACTCATAGTATAAAAATAATTCAGTAAAAACAAACGTTCATATATTATACGTTTGTTTTTATTGAACTATTTTTATATTCACAGTAAATAATTCAATAAACACAAACGTACAATATATGAATGTTTGTTTTTATTGAATTATTTTTATACTATGAGTTACATCATGAGAATGATTAGAAAAACGCAACTTTGTTTGATTATCGTTGTTCTTGAATCATAAGATGAACGTGTCATTGGTCATTAAGAAGCATCAATTTTTATTTTTGCACGGAAAGAACAGTTTTGTTGCAGTATTAAGAGTTTAACTAGATATAAATCTGAAAATAATTTTATTAGACTATTAAAATAATGATGTAGAACGCTTATAACGTGATGACAACGCAATGGTTTCAAGATTCTAACTAGTTTGACCTACATAATTATTTTGATGGTCGCTGAAAAGTTATTTTTATATCTGTCTAGCTAAAATTTCAGATACTTCAGCATTTTTTCATATACAAAACGATACTATACAAAAGTATTAACATCAGTTGGATGTCTTGGAGAA